ACCAATCGGTTTCCCTACCGCGCCTTTCGGACCTCAGAAGATCCAGGATGTTGGCCTTAGCCCACAGTGCCATGAGAGATCACCTTGAGTTCTACTGGAATGTTTCTTTTTCTTTTTCCTTTTTTTTTTTTTGTTGATGTAAAGATGATCATGAACGTTCAAATTCATTGAGCGTTTCAACTGGGTGAGGGTGTGAACAAACCCTGTTTGAATGGCATAATCGAATTGAACGCTTACTAGGTTGAAAGTTCCCGGCCTGGGAAGTTCGAATTTAATGTCTGAATAGAATGTTTATATCGAATATTGAATGCCCGACAAGTAAATTTAATTAATTAACATATTTGAATTTTCAATTTTGTTTGAACTTCGTATCCAACCGTCGACAACACCACCCTTTTTAATTTTTAAAGGTTTTAAATCAATAATTGAAGGTTTAACCTTATTAATCGAATGTTTTGAATGACTATGCCTATGTTTGGAGTGCATGATTGAATTAAACCATTTACATTAAAATTGATTAAAATTAAATTAAAAGGCTACATGAATGTTTCAATCGCAGGTGGAATGCTTGTAATATATGTTCATATTTTTGAATAAAAATTTATCAGTTGAATTTTTGCGGCGTTAGAAACCTACCCTTGAGAGGAGCTTACGTGGCCCTCAAAAGTACGAAGTTCACTATTCGAATATCTGACAAAGAAATTACAAAAGATCAGCTGTGCGAAGGTACATGCAAGATTCAAAAAGAAACCCCGGAGGTACAGATCAAGCAAAATTCGAAAAGGAGAAAGTTCGGTTTGAATACAATCCAAGTGAGAAACTCCAACTACGCTGCAAGGCGAAATTTCGAGAAAGTTTCAAAATTTTAAGCGCTAAATCCCCTCATAACATGATCCAACAAGGAAGAGTCCCTCCCATTTTGGCACTTCTAGTGCCATTGTTAATGGTAAACGCGTCAATAGCCTCTAAAGGATACACTGCTGCTGTTTACGAACACGCCACTGTCTTCAAATTAGGCGTTCAAACACGCAGCCAAGCTCTTGAAGTCATGAAGGAAAATATAGCAGTCTTCCAAGAAAAGTCTCGCCTCGCGAAAGAGAAAGGAGCAGACATTATCGTTTTTCCCGAAGATGGCTTATATGGATTTACGTTTACACGCGATGAGATATACCTGTATTTGGATGACATTCCGAACCCGCCTAGTCTCGCCACGAGTTGGAATCCATGCACAGAACCAGATCGTTTCAAGAATACAGAGGTTACACATATACTCAGTTGCATGGCGCGCAACTTTTCAATCGCGGTGGTTGCAAACATGGGAGATGTGAAGTACTGTAATAAGACTTCGGACCCTTACTGCCCTGATGATGGAAGGTACCAGTTCAACACCGATGTTGCATTTGACACAGATGGCACGCTGCTTGCAAGGTATCGCAAAATGCATCTTTTTAGCATCGAGAAAACTTATTTTAATACTCCACGTCAACCAGAGGTCGTTACATTTACGACTTCATTTGGCGTCACATTTGGTGTGTTCACATGCTTTGACCTTCTCTTCTATGATCCTGCTATTGTGCTGGGCGAGAGTGTTAGCAATATTGTATTTCCCACCGCTTGGATGGATGGCCTTCCCACCTTGATTTCAGTCGGGATACAGCAGGGATGGTCAAGGGGTCTTTCAGTCAATTTTCTCGCTGCCAACCAGCATTTTCCACAATACAAAATGACAGGAAGCGGAATATACTCAAGAGGCGACGCATTACAGTACATCCATGACATGCAAACTTCTGAGGGACATCTTTTGGTGGCTCGCGTGCCAAACGCAGATTTGCCAAAAGATAATTTCCGCGAAAAAAGTGCAGAATCAAAGTTAGATCAGTCCAGCGATGAAACATTCACCTCTCAAGTTAGGGACGATCCTTACACATTTGTAAAGCTCAGCGGGACTCATGGCACTGTCTCCGTCTGTACCCCTGGTCTTTGCTGTCAAGCAAATTACTCCACAGCCAGTGAAAATCCTTTTGGAAATGAGATGTTTGCCTTTGGAGCCTTCAATGGTCATCACAAGTACCCCGGAGGATACTACATTCAGGCCTGCATTTTACTTAAATGCGCAAGTATGGAGGAACAATCCTGTGGCAGTTCAACTACAACATCATCAACCATTTTCAAGTCGTTTGCTATTGAGGGAAATTTCTCCACTGAAACGTACGTGTATCCTGAGGTTATTTTAAGTGATTTGCAGATAATCCCAGGAAAGGAAACTGAGTACTCTGGACATAAAATGGTTGTGAGCTCATTTAACAAGCCGTTGCTGTCTGCCATGTTATTTGGTCGCACATATGCCTTAGATTCTTCTACATCCGTTATACGGCGCCGTACTCTCCTGCAGCAAAAATTGCAGTTGGGAAAACGTCGTGTGGTAAAGCACGTAAAATAGTCTTAACAGTGACTGCGGTTGTTGTAGAAATCTAAAGTTTAGTGGAAGCCTTCCGCTATCGAGCATTCTATCCCCCCGGCCAGGATGGGGGAGTGGGGCGGGGTTGGGGGGGGGGTGAAGGCTTCCTAGTAATAGGCTAATGTAATGGGGATATGCCGCTGGATAGGGTCTTGTTTCACGACTGGATTGACTATAGTGGGGTTGCATTTTAAATAGTCACTAGGATGGGGTTGCACGTTTTCGGGATTTTGGGGGTAAGAAAATTCCCGGCAGGTAGGGGCTAGTAAGGATTTAATAATGGGAAGATTCGCATTGTTAATCTCTTCTACATTCAATTTAACAAATGAGTAACTTCGTTTAGCTAGGATGAACAATTTAAAAGGCTTTATAAGTTAGATGCATGAATAGAAAGTGAATAAGTAGGGATGGCGAAAATCATTTGCTCATAGGCGACTAAGGTGGCGTCAAAAAAGGAAGAAAAAGATGGCGCTATTGGCCACAGTAGACTGTAATGTGAGTCAGCTTTCAGACCTTTATGGACCAGTGTTTTACCATATGTCATAACTGTGTCATTTTCCTTGCCGAGACACAGGAACTCCCATGGGAAACTGGTGGACATGCTTTTGGTGGCCTTGATTAGGGGTATAAATTGTATAGTTTGATCATTAGGGTGTTTTAGTTTAGGACAGAACGCCAGGGTTTTTGCCCATCGAGGTACCTTGTACCGTTTCACTTGGAAAAAAGTATATGATAAAAAAATTCTACAATTTTAGCTGAAAATTTACAAAAGTGACGCGAGAAACATAAATGATTAATACCTTTCGTACGCCTTCACCAAGAATACTAAGAATGGTTCGTGGAGACCACCAATTTATGAGCAGATTAAGAAGAGCCAACTTTTGTAAATTTTCAGCTAAAATTGTCCTTCGAAAATGAAGGTAACAGATTTCTACTATATAAAATAATGTTTATTTTATGCAATGAATGAAAAGCATTACGTCAAAATTAATTCGTGGGCAGTCCATCTTAGCAATCCACATTGAAAAATTCGGACCACTAAGGGAACCAATCAGAATTCTCCTTTCTTTTGCGGACCAGTTCAGCCATATAATAAATGTAATTACTGAATAGCTTATTATAGTTCACTGCATTTTTGCTCACATGCTATATGCCAGTTAGTAATTTGTATTGATCACAGTGGCAGTGTCAATCTTTGCAAATCTGGAGAGTTCTATACTGAGTCAATAATAATGATACTTGGGGTTGAAGGGTGGTAATTAGCCTGCTGGGGATACTCCCATATAAAAAGAACGGGAGTGCTTATCGGAAATTTTGAAAAGAAACCCTAAGGGTTACCAAAATCCTGTTTTGTCTGTGTGGCTTAAATTTTTTTCACCCCTAAGAGGTACCAATTATCAATCAGCACACATCAAATGACATTGAGTCTTTTCGGCTCAATACCCGAAAGGTATCGTGAAATCTCCCGCTGTGGACCTCCCTAAGAGATACCAAAACCCCTTTTTAACCCCTAAAAGGTACGACAAGCACCCCCGTCCTTTTTACATAGGAGTCCCCCCGGGAGGTAATTAGTCCCAGTGGAGTGCACTGGGGCCATCAGGTGTACCTTGCGAATGCTGGGAAATGCACACGGTGTCATAGGCTCTGCCACCAAGTCCTAACCCTGGTAATGGTTGTGACAATGGCAAGGCAGGTATCTGACGCTTTTAGGAATAATGGGATATAGTGGCTCAGGGAAGGCCACCCTGACAGAAAACCCTGGCCCTCCAGGCTGGGTGTTGGTCATGGGGCCAATCTCCCTGTCCCACAAAAATGATTGATTACGGAAAATGATATTTCTTCCCAGCCCAATATCCCCAGGGGGTTATGGCTAAAAGAGAAGAGAAAGGGAATTATATTATGATACTTAATGTGTATTTAGTAAAGTTGTCAAATTATTAGACTGTTATTTCGAGCTGTTTTAAAACTGAATTCAAAGGGAGAGCCGGGCTAAGTGGTAACTTAAATTTTAAATTTTCAAGAAATATTATACTCAATTTACAGACAGAAGAACATACATTGTATTGTGGTTATTCCATTCATCCAATGAATTATATACACAGGCAATGAGATTTTAATCCTGGGATTTCTAGAGGGTTCAGAGAAGACCCAGTCAAACTTCATGGTCAGTCTTTGGTATGTAATTTCATGTGAAAAAAGTAAATGCTAGTGTCGTAAGTTATGTTAGTATTGTAAGCAGAGTTAGTATCATATAAGTCATGCAATGATATGGTAAGTAAGGCAGGCTATTGTCAACTAGTGAGTAATGTCAGTACTCTAAGTAGACACTGGTTAGCAATGCTGCTGTTGTAAGCAGTGTATATCAATAAGTGGGGTTAATATTGTAAACATAATAATAAAAAAATTAAAAACATGATAATCAGTCCAGTAAATTTTATGTGAGATTCTTTCAGTTCATCCTTCCTAGATCAGGTTTTTCATATCAGAAATGAGTTGGGTTCTTTGTTTTATTTTGTTTTTATTTTTTCTATTTGTCTTTTTCTCCTACTAAATTAAAGCTATGGGCATTTTGGTAACAACTCGAAATGTTCCTGAGGTATAGCAGTCAAAATTATATTTCAGACAGAGTGTCAATTCTGCAAAAGAGGAACTGAGTAAACTGCCTCTTAGGGACATTTTGATTCTTTCAACACTGATTGTTAATCACACTTCATATCAACTTCATTATTAATAATGAAAAATACACTACTCATTTCCACCTTATTAGTTAGGACATAATTAGAAAATGTAGTCAGTTTGGAACAAAGCAGTCTTCTTTTAGTTCATTAAAAAGAAATGTGATGTCAAACGTTCAAGAAAACAAGTTTATTTTTGTGTTAAACTTGCCAAGACTTAACTTAATAGCTACTTTAGAAACATGTTGTCCATTACAATACAACTTTTTCTTCCCCAACACAAGACAAAAGTTGATCCCTATATTCCATGATATCTCCTTAATGACCGGATAAAGATAAAATGTCATTGTTCCTCTTAGCTTCATGGTGAAAATCAGGAGTTTTCAGTTCGTACCATCTGGGTTTGGGACCACGGATTCTTTCAAGTTCCTCCACGCATTTCTTTTTAAGGAGTCTTTCCTCCTCTAAACGCAGTCTGTCTAACCGTAATCTAGCCAGTTCTTCCTGATAAGGTGTAGCCAAGGCACTGATTGTTCTTGAAGATAACATTTGATTCTCTGCATCCCTAAAAAGTGACAAATCAAAGTCCCTGACGGGCGTTTTCCTGATATTTTCACTTGGATCACTTGTAACATTTCCTTCCATAGATGACCTCAACACGGAAGCTTTTAATGGCTGTCTTTGCGCAATTTTCTCGATGTCAACTGCTGGACTTGCTGTGCGATGAACTGGCTTTATAAACCAGCTATCTGAATTATAACTACTGTTAAGAAATGCATCAGTTGTACTGGGCTTATCGTGCAACCTGGCAAGCTCTTCCTCTGGGCCATCAGAAAATTCGGACAAATCCAAGGCTAAATCATTGGGATCAAACTCTTCGTCAGATGTTTGCAAGTCTTGAAAGCTTACTGACTGACGGGAAGGTGTTCTTGTACTCTTATGTAACAGTCCTGAAGTGGATATAGTCATTTCAGAGTTGGTTCTGTAGTTCTGTGGTTTCATTCTGAACAATAAAAAAAAAAACATAGAAATTATTTCCATGACAGGTTTTATACAAGAGTGCCACATTATTGGATAATTGCAAATCATTTGAAAAATACTAGTGCATAAGATTTTCAATGGCATGTCAAGCAATGTCATAGCCACAGCAACCCAGGTATTATGATTATCAGTTGAGTAAGGTGCGACGAAAGTTTGGTCACCATGTTTTAATGTGAAAATCGTGTTGTTGTCACTGGCAACTGGTTCCGTTTCCAGTGGCAACTTGTCTCCCTATGGTGTCATTGGCAGCAAAGTGCGCCAAACTGTAGGTGACGCGACAGGTGACACAAGGCTGTTGACATAATTTGTTTTCAATGGAAACAAGTTAAATTGCTTGTGACAACACCATAATTTTAAGACCAAAATTTTGTCACCAAGCTTTTGTCGCGCCTTACTCAACTGATGGTCGTAGTAGGTGCACTCATTAGTATGCATGTATTAGTGACAGGGAGATGTGAAACCCTTTCTTGAGTTGAGAAAGAGGTAGAAATTTTGTGTCAGCTCTTTTGGTGAGAGATTTTAGTAAGGACTTTTTAGGGTTGATCACAAAGCATAACCCAAGGCTCATTTATGTCAGTTTCATTCAGAAAAATAAATTACAATTAAACAGTGTGCGTGCAAATAAAGAGGAGACCTTCAGTTACGAGCCACTGGACTTTAACCTAGAAGGATATTTTGAGGGTCGAACAATTTATTCCATTGTCACCTTCCATACATGGCAATCAAATACGTGGTAACAATGAGGGGTAGAAAAGGAAAAAATATCGCCATTGCAACTTCCAAAGAGTCGACCCAGGTATTGCTTGTTGCAGTCATGCATGAAATGTAAAAATGATGAACTTTTTACACGCAAAAACTTCATTTTTACCTTCAAACACAACACATAGCTTTTGAAGGCTTTTTTGTCCAAGCCACAACGTTACAAAGAACGCTTTTTACATGCTTTAAGGTTGATTACCTGACTGGTGTTCGTCGACCTCGCAGTATGAAGTCTTCGTCTGGGTTTCGCTTTCTTGTTCCTCTGGAAGGCAGAGGTCGTAAATTATAAAATGAATCCTTCTCTGAGGGTCTTTTCTTTGCCATGCTGCTGATGAACATTTTGCTTTGTGGTTAAAAAGTATGAAAATCCACAGCTGGAAACAACAGAGAAAATTCCACTGGAATCCACAACAAACTGAACGAGCGCGTTCGTTGGCTTAGCAACCAAGCTGTGGAACCAGGCTTCGCGCTGCAAGAAGGCTTGGCGTGTTAGGGACGAACTATCCTGTGACGTCACACAGGTAAGACTCAGGGGCGAGTTGTTCAAAGCCCGATTAAGTATTAGCGAGAATTGATCGGTAATTTTTCGGTGAGGTTTTCTATTTACATTGTTTGTCCTTCAGTTTTGAGTTTGAGTAACCTCAAACTACACAAAACATAAATAGTCAAAAACGTTTTTATGCAAGAAAAAATACTTCTTCGGTTAACTTTTAAACCAGGGTTAACGTCAACCGGCTTTCGAACAACCCGGCCCAGGTTTACGGAAAAGAAAAGCGTTCACACAGGAATGTGTTACCACGTCGATTTACAGTCGTGAGTAGTCGAGAACGCAAAGACTAATCCCATCCAAGAAAAAAACAGAGCGAGGAACAGCTTTGTCAAACCCAAGCGTTCGTGGATGGTAAATTTAGTTGGAAGGGAGGGGAACGGGGGCGGGGGGAGTGGATTCACAACCTTCCACCTGCCGTATCCTGCTCTCCCGCTTCCCCTACCTTTATCTCCCGACTCCCGCCCTTGTTCCTCTTGCTCCTGTCCTCTGTAAATAAGGAGGCTCAAAACACAACCTAGTCATTTTGCTCGGCGCAATCCTTAAGCGTTTCTTTTCCTTTTTTCCTTTGTTTCCAGCCTTGCTCCTCTTACTCACGTTTTTTGAGAGCTTAAGCGACAACATTTCATGATCTGTGACGTAACCATCGTAAAGCGGTTTCCAATTTTACCGGAAGTAAGCCTCAGTTTTTTTTAACCCAAGGGCAAGTTTTCGTTTCTCAGTCGGTCCAGAAGTCTCAAAAATAAGCTAAATGTAAGTCAAATTACATTTTGGGTTCTTGTTTTTGACAGTGTTTTAACGCTTAATAAATGATTCCCGCCTTCCTAGAACTCCCGCTTCCCCGACGCCCTTTTGTCTCCCGCTTCTCGCCCTTTCGTCTCCCGCCTCCCGCCCCGGTCCCCTGTAGGATCGCTCAGAGGACCATTTCAAGGCAAACACTTTCACCGACAAGCTCTAGGTCTTTGCCGTTAGTGTAAGGTAAGTACGTGGATAGAAAATCCTGTAACTGGAAATTAAATCTCAACATCATAAGAAATGAGACCTTTATTGTGAAAAATGAAATGTTTCACTAATCACAAGCATGGGTAAAGAAAACGGAAATTGAAGTATATTACAAGTCATCGCAGGCTATTTAGCGGAAGTTCTGACTATGGTAATTCAACCGGTTTTCCTGTCTTCCTTCCATCATCGGTAAAGCGTGAGAAGAATGAGGCGAACCAATGGCCCGTCTCCCCTTCTTGTTTTCGCGGCTTCGTCACCAATATGCCGTTTGTATGTTGTCACGTGCACCTCCCTAACAAAACTGGCATCTATTCCGGCTACCTTGTTGCAACAATTCATTTGTCTTGGGTATCCTTCTTCCATATCTCATAAAACGTCCATCTTCATAAAATGAAACAAAGACATTAAGGAAAATCACAATCAATCAATCAATCAATCAATCAATCAATCAATCAATCAATCAGTCAATCAATCAATCAGTCAATCAATCAATCAATCAATAACAAAAAAAACCCCAAAACATAAAACAGCTATTCAAGTTAAAAGTAATAGAACTTAATTTTCGTTGTTTGTATCTAACTGGTCGAGATAGCGCAGATAATTAACGATAATATTTTTTGATTAGTCAGTGAAAGTCAAACTATTTTTCCTCTTCTCTCCCTGGACAAAACAATACGGAAAAGAAATGAACTGAAAGCAGGCAGAGAAAACATGTTTGTTTTAAAAATTTGCGATTTGCGGCCATCTTTCTAGAAAAATCAAATCGTTAAAAAATAACGCTGATGATCAAGCTCAGATGCTAGCTATCATTATATCAGATCAAACCGTATAATTTCACCTCGTCTCCCTTTAGTTTCTTTTGGCGGGTGATTCAAAGCGAAATCACAAGGGCACACTGCTACGCTACTCAATATCTATCACAGAATAGACAGTGAATAGCGTAGCCAATCAGAGAACGGCATTCGTGATAGAACGCTACTTGGCTAGTACAAGTTTTCTATTTCTTAATTAAAAAGTAGATTGTAAAAGAATGCAAAGGATACAATTCTAAGAAGGATGGGACAAAAGCAAAATCTTTCCTGAACTCCACTGGACAATACAGTTTTGCCAGCTGCTCTTCGTACAGACTTAAACTTTCTCTCATATTAGGTCCATTTCCACCCTAAAAGGAAAAACAAAATAGTAAGATAACGTGATAATTTAGCCTAGCGATAAAGGAGTGGTGAGAACGAGAGATAGGAATGCAACATAACGTAACAAAACTGTCAATTTTACTGGTTTCCAAGGAAACAGCCGATGTTCATCCAGCTTCACTGAAGCTCGATGGACGTCAAATTAGGTGCTTTACGTTAACGCACCCAATTTCAGTTGTCATTGAATTTCTTGGATTCTTTGTCACGTACTTTTAGTCACGGACACGTGGATTCTTGATTTATGTACTCAAACTTACTTGCACAAAATACTTTCCACGTGGAGAGAGAAGACGAATTGAAAGGTCCTGGATTTCCCTTTGAAACTCCAAGTACGAACCTACAAACCACACAAAATTGTTTTAGTAACTTTATAGTGGAATCCCGATTTTCATCACCCTCTATTTCTCGTATTTCCCAATAACTCGAACCAAAAGTAGCTTCCTTTGCATTTGTTTCACCATAATTTACTCTCGATATCTCAGCCGAAAACCCGATTTCTTCAGCTAATTAAAAACTCGAGCCAAATACGCGTTGCTGGCAAAAAGTGCGGGGAAGTGTAGGGGAGAATCGCGATTGGTTTGGTTTTACTTGTGATTGGATGAGAAAGTGGCGCGAGATTTTTTTAACCAATCATAAAGCGCAGTTATGCGAAACTATTGCGAATTTCTTTCGATCCTCAAGTGAAAACCGCTCTAATTATTGACTCTAACAGCAATTTGGTGTGATCGTGGTTTAAGACTTACTATACTTACCGTCCTGTTCTTCTGATCTTATAACGATGTCAGTAAGATCGTTAATCACGAAATCAAACGCCTTTTTTTCCCTTACAAATTCTCGCATGACTTTGGCGCAGTCATCAATTATAATCTGTGACGAGAAAATATGGAAAAAGCACCATATTAAATTAATTACGAGGAATTTGTGCATGGCAGTGACCAGGTTCAAGATGTTGAGAAGAAAAGATCGTATCTCCTTTGGAGCTCGTATAACAAAATCATCAACAATAACAACAACAGCAGCAAGGGAAATTTTCGTCGAGTGTCTGTAGCCGTTGGAGTTGCCACTTACCTCGTAATTTTTGCCCCGTAAATTGTCGAGCGAATCACCACAAATTGCTCTGAGATGCTTTCTTGAGGCATCAATGACACCCTTGTCAATTTGTTAAGCTGTTAAAGAATGGTGCGCGTAACAAACAGAATAACACAATGTACGATAAAAGAACTCGTGTAGCTCGGTCACAAAGTTAAGATCTGATTCGCAACCTACACCATTTAAAAGGTTCTTTCTAACTGACCAAATTAACGAAGCAAAAGATAAAAATCGTAAAATTTCACTAGCCCTAAGAACAAAAGGGGTGCAATTTAAATGAAGATAGAGGTGTTAAAGTGGTGCAGAACAACTGTGCTGGTGTTCTGAGAAATTAATGCCGTACAAAATTAAATGACGCACGGTACGTTAATTTGGCAAAAATGAGCGAAAGTTGTTTTTCAGGCTTTGCCTTGTTTAGTCGCAAAATGAATAGCCCATGCTCGCTCCACATGATTATATCTGAGAGTATATTTGAGTAAGGAATTCCCTTTCTTAAAAACCACTCGATCACCTTATTTTTTGGTTTGTTTTAAAAGGATATCTCAACCATAACAACAGACCTCGGGTTTTCCTTTAATAACTCATGAAGCACTCCCCCGTCACCTCCCCCCAAGATAAGAACACTTTTGTCTTTGTAGTCCGCCCTGCCGTTTCCCATGAGAGCCTGCGTGTAAACGAGGTCGCTCTCAGCAATCACTGTTGAACAAGACAAGAGAAAGTTCTACGATTCAGTATACAAACTACAGTTCTAGAAGGGATCGGGAGAGGAGTATTGTGGACATTCACATGTAGTTGCCAGAAATAATTGTAGGTTTTTCGTTTTTATAAATTGTCATTGCTTACCATCTTAGGAGAAAAAGACTTGATAGAAAAGATAGGGGTTCTTCTACTATCACCTCATAGAAATCTCGAGCTCATAATCGAATTGTTAAGTAGATAGTGAGTAGCCTAGCAGTGCGCGCTTGTTAACAAAATAGCGGCACTTCTTTGGGTTATTGAAGTGTCTGTGAAAAGGACTTAGAGAAAGTTTTGAACGACTAGTAGGTTTATACTGAAATAATTAGATTCTTCGCTCTCGATTTGTATGCGTGATATTTGACTTGAGCTAACCCCTCGCCAGCTCTTACGTGATAAAAATCTCGAGCTCAAAATTAATAAATAAAGTATTAAAAAAAAGAACAACAAAACAAAACAAAAAAGTATCGAGCTCAGAATCTAATTGAAAAAGGACGAAAAGGCCGAGCGATGAGAGAAAATTTGCCACGTCAAGAACAGTGTAGATTGGATGATGAGTCGATAAAGGGCTAGTATAATTTTGACTTACTTTCTATCTCATCCAGGATAAGCATATTGCCAAACTGAGGTGAATGGATAACCTGAATATGTTGATATGGTGAGTGCTCACTGGAAACAACTCTGAAAGCGAAAAAAAACAGGGGGTAGAAGAAAAAAAAAATGAAATGAACTAAGTAAAATTACATTAAAAGCGACTTTAAAAGTGGCAACAAGTGACGACTGACTGAAGCGGGCTCAAAGAGCGGAATATATAAGAAATAAAAATTAATCACTTTATGTAAGTTTCGAGGTGTTTAGCACTGCTGTACCAATATAGTGGAAGGAAGGCGGATTTGAAACCAGGACCTACGGATTAAAAATCCGACACCCTAACCATTTTGCCACACTTCCTCTTACTATTTTCACAATGACCGCAATTTTACAGTTTTGATATCGTTTCGAAGTTGTTTTAAGTGCGGCAAGTGTGTATAAAAGACGCGATGTCTTGATCTTCTCGATATTAAAACATATTCGTGGCCTCGCGGCTAAACTTTCTCAGGAGGAAAAGTGACACTGAAACTTTCTGTCCGTCCTCTATGGCCTCGCCTTCTTCTGCTTGTCACTGAATTCACGAGGAACGGCAAATAATCTGTTCGTTTGATTACCTGTCGAAGTCATACTCTATAATCCTATCGTCAGTTGTTTCGCGATAGCAACGGATCGCTCGTCCCCGTGTGATTGGAAGAATGTACCTCGCTATCGAACACGACAGGCTCGTGTTCATACGATCACGCAGCTCTACTATATCCTAGACGGAGGGAAAAAAAGTAAGGCAACAAACATAAATGCTATCATAGTTAGAATGAAAAAATAAAAAAAATTCGCAAAGTAAATGCCTGCCTGGCATAACCCCCTAGCCTCTTCCAGGCGTTCAGTTAGTTGGGGCGCAGCGCAAAGAAAGCGTTTTTTATTTTTTCGCGCGCTGTTTCTTTCCCACTGCACCCCAACTAACTGAACGCCTGGATGCTAGGCAACTTATCGCGTCCCAATGGCGTGACAACTTTTGGAAACCTATGAAGTGCTCGTGCTATTACTTGGTTGGATGAGACAAACTGTAACGTTACGAGTTCTTCAACAAAGGTTTGCCAAAAACAGTATATATTCCACCGACGCCCTTTAGGGGCTAAACGAGTTTTCATGTGGCTGGATAAGGCCTGAATGGCCGCTCATGAAATTGCAGGTCTTCATATAGCTTACCTTTTTGGTCCAAGTACGATACAAATCGCTCTTGTTATCACCAACGTATTGCACGATATCAAGGGTGACAAGGCCATCCGGGAATATCCGAACAGTACACTGCCTGCAATGTTGAACAAACTGACATGCATGATACTGCTTGTAAATTAATTTAATGTCAACTAGACGCATAACTGCGTCAAACTGCGTCAATACTCGGGCTTCTCTTATGGAAATAAACTTAGTTTACATGAATAGATATATCTGGGGATGGTCGTCTGCCAGTTGCCCAACAACAAAACCGCGAGAAGACTCAGTTTTTCTTGTGTGCATTTGAGCGGTCAAGAAATACTTTGGACGTTGAGTATCGATGGCAGAAGTATTTTTCAGACAAAATGGAAGAGATTTGCACGTACATTATATTAGCTTCAAAATAAAGAACGAATATAGAGGTAAGAGGATATTTGTATTGCGTTTATCCTGGCATATGCATTTGCTTCCGGGAGTTGATGTTCCTCAGGTAACCTGTTGTTTCGTCCCGTAACGAGTTCGCTACCTTTGAGGAAACCACAGCTAGTGGGAAAATGGGGGCTAAATCGCTACTGGCCGCTTAACAAGGGGCGGGGGGAAGCGGGGGAGGGNGGGGGGGGGGGGGGGGGGGGGGGGGGGAGTTTAACAGGTCGCCGCTCAATAGGCCACTTTCGATATATTAATATTCTAGCATGGCTCCGAGACTTTCAGGACAAACTTTTATATTTGGTGTCGTTGTCTTTGTATCCAAGTCTCTTTTGGGAATTGAGAGACAAAAGAAACTTTAAAAAAATTTCAATTTTGACCCGAAAGCCTCGGAGCCATGTTAGAATATTGATATATCGAACATGGTCCATAGAGGTTCCACTGTATATCTAAGTGTTCCGAAGATCGATTGGGGAGAGCGTCACAGAATGTAGACGTGTGTTGCGAAGCTCCGTAAACCGGACAATTTTCTACCGTGTTTAAACGTCCATGGAAAAATTATTTATTACTCCAAAAAGGAAAAGTAGCCATCGCAGTAATTTGGAGCCGTCACCAGAAAATAAAAGACTGATAGAGTCAAATTCTCCGCTTAAGATATCGAGTGACGAAGAACGAGGTCATGGAAGTACTCGGACCCAAAATAGACTGAGTGTTATCGAAGCTATCCAACCTGGAAACAAAAATGGAAGAACTGAACGTAGCAGTCGAAGGACTACAAAGCAAGGTAACGTCTTTGGAGATAGAAGTAGATTCAGTAAAAACTAAACAGAACCTTAGGCGATAACTTCACTTCGTTGGAGAAAAGTTCTGTATTCGTTGACGAACAAGTACAAGAATTGATAGCTAAGACTTATAAAAACAATGACGACGTCAGCGATACAAGCAGAAAACTGCTATACTTGGAGGCCTACAGTTGACGTGAAAATCCGAAATTTAAAGGCATCCCCGAAACTTTCGCATCGAGCGAAGGAGATGGAGCTATTCAACGGGGCGAAGTGTCCACCGAAAATACAAAAGGGGTGCTAACTGAGTTCTTAGAAAGAGTTCTGGGAATAGAAGGTGCACAGAGCATTGAATATCAACGAGTACACCGAATGAGCAAGCCGAGAAAGGAAAATGGAAGAGAAAGATCATCATTGCGCGTTTCCTAAGGTTTTCGGACAGAGAACGGGTGCTCAAATGCGGACGGAAACACAGGATACAAGAAATCCACGAGATGCGAAAGCTCCAAATGGAGAAGTTGAAGAATGCCAGGAAGGATGGTAAACCTACATATTTTAGTGGATCGGAGCCCGACAAACTTTACGTCAACGGTAAATAGGTCAAAATGTAAAATGTAATAAGTTTATCTGGGTTAACGTTGCTATCATGATTATTCATTTTCTCCAGAAAATGCTAATTCAAGAAGTAGTAGAAAATTCCTGCTATATTTGATACTTTGTACTTTATCCGTTATGCGTATTTTTATTTCATACCTCATGGGCGTTCCTTGTTTGATTTTTTCACACTCCGGTGAAAGGGCTTCGGGTGGAATGATGTATAAGGCAGTTGTTTGTGCTCGTAAACAGTTCTTCTGGAGCAAGAGGTATGTGGGATTTGTTAACCTATTTTCGGCCTCAGTCTTCGTTTTCGTTTTATGTCCATGTAGTAATTAGTGTTAGTGGGTAGCGTAAGCGTTAGTGTAATTAACTATGTAATTGTTTGAATCGCTCTTGTAATTGTGCTTTAAGTAACAATAAAATGTTAAAAAAGAAAAATAAATATCTAAGTGTTCCTGCTTCGCCGGCCCCAGGCTTCACACTTTTGGTCATGATCAGTGCAAGTTTTAGTGGATCGGAGCCCGACAAACTTTACATCAACGGTAAATACGTCAAAATGTAAAATGTAATAAGTTTATCTGGGTTAATGCTGCTATCATGATTATTCATTTTCTCCAGAAAATGCTAATTCAAGAAGTAGTAGGAAATTTCTGCGCGTGGGACACGTGCGCTAAAACGCAAGGGGGTGGGGCTGGGGAAAGGTCAAAATGAGTTCCCTTCGCGGTCCTCTAGCGCTCCTCGCTCGTATCGCTCGCGCGCTCGAAGAAACTAACTCGTAGCAAAAAAAAAAAAAATTAATAATAATAAATAAACGTCTGTGGACAGACTAAGATTGTGAGACAGTGAACCATCAAGTTCTGCACTCCCTGGGAACGAGGCATTGGTTCGTCACTTGTGACTTACGTTTCAGTCTTATCGAAGAACAAGAGCATAGTATTGGGCCTGGGTTGAGAAATGGAGTCCTCTGTACCAAACGTTTTCTGTAGCTCTTCTGTGACCTTCCTTTTCAGATATGTCATCATTTTGTCGTCGAGTGGCGCGGGAAGGGTGACATTGAAGTCGAGAAGTGTCTGCTTAACTGACATCTTTATTTGGTTGCTGTTGGTTTCTGTGTAGGAAAATAACGTTAATTTTGATAAATAAACAGTTAAAAGAAAGAAAAAGCAGACGCAAATTATTGATAGAATTAAGTAAGAATGTTATAAAGGATTGCTTACATTCAAATTAAAGGATTTTTAGATAACTTTCGGTTTTTAATCCTGTTTAAATCTTTAGCGCGTATAATTTTTTATTTTATTTCTAGCGTATTTTATTGTAAGCAGGTTACATTTGTAGCTATTAGTCTTTAGAAGAGCCAATTTTTATTGTAAATTTGCTCATGAAACCGTTATTATTTAATGTTATTTATTGTTATATTGCTCATTTATATTCAAAACAAAGGCTAGCTACTGAAAGTTGGCCAATCCAGGGAATTTCACGATACATATAATTGAGCTGGACGGCGGATCAATTGGTTTTACAGTTTTCTTTTTACGCTAAAATATTGATATTCTAATTTTAGGTAATTATTTTTTTTAATTACCAGTGTAATTGGTGTAAAGGATATGCGTCGATTTCTTTTTTTTTTCGGACAAATTGGGTATTTTGGAGTAAACAGTCACTGTTATGTGACTGAGATAACTTCTTAGAGTGTCGCAGCATTCCTGATTTTCTACAGATTTGAATGAGATCTATTATTTTGTATTAGTATCACCCAACTAGTGGACTAAAGCAAATCCTGCATTTTGATTGGCTACGCTACTATAGGACTATTAGTAATAGTCCTCGAGTAGCGAAATTGGCGCCATCGAGCGTGACGCTTTCTTTCGTTTTATTCCCAAATGTTTCTTCAACTTGCATTTGCTAACTTTATTATTGCCTTTTCTGTCCGACTAGTTGGGTATTACTAAAACAATTACACCCTTCGCCCTCAAGGGCCACGGGTCAATAGCCCGCAAGGGCTACGGGTCTAATTGTCAATTAGTATTGTGAAGTTTGAGAGCAGTCATTCTTGAAAATATATTTTCATCGCGGCTTTAAGTTCTGTTCGCGTTTAGCTTTTGCTCCCTAAATGCGGAAACCACCAGTTGATTAAATACATTGTAAAATAAACAAAGCGTCGATTTGAAGGACTTTCCTTTGGACAATGTTCTTTTTGGGGGTTCGTTTGGCTCATTTGCTCCTTGGTTAACGGACGGGACAGGTTAGCCTAGCTCTTTTGTTCCACTGCCGAGCAAGAAAAACAAGCCAAATTAAACCAGTCTCTAAATGAACAGTCCATAGATACACCGGTATAATGTTTGTTATTTTCAAGTTCTAACATCCACTACCGAGCCACCGTAAACGAGCAAATAAATATAAAGAGAAAAGGGCGTAACACCCTCAATGTTTATTTCTTATTCTTACATCCCGGCCAGGCCAAATGAGCCATTAAATAAAACTACTTAAAAAGCGGATCATGTACTGTGACACCTGACTCCCACTTTAATCATTATAGGGACCTTTAGATTGCGATGCTAACAAGACTGATCGGGTACAACTGCAGTTTGACTTTCGCATTTTAATTCTATTGCTTTCCCAGAGCCTTCACTCCTCCTTGTTGAGGTGTCACGCGATTTGTGTGGATAGCAATTATTAAATGCAAACGCACAGGGTTCGAAAAGTCACACCCATACTTAATCTCTTACTTGGACTCCTTACCCAGGTAATGAGCATCTTAGTGAAGGTGACCCTCTTCAAGGTAACAACTATAAATATGTTGGTTTTCTGAGTCTGAAGATTTTCTTGCCTAATCTTCAGTCTGTTGTAAGCCAGAGTAATTAAAGTATAATATTGTTCTCATTTCCTAATTAATTACAGGCACGAAGAACGGTTTGTTTGAACTTCGCTAACAGCAACAACTATTTCTAGTAAAGAGGGTATCCTTTATAATATTAAAACGCGAATAAGTTTAAAAACAAAACTCCCCTGTTAACTTGTTCTAGCGTCGATTATAATTTCCAACTCGTGTTCTTGCTTTAGTTAAAAGCCAGCTGGCCTTTTAAATTCCGAGATAGCGAGGTTAGCTGACAACAAAATCTTACGAAGGAGCACTAACAAGAATGTGCGATCTACACAGCGGATTCTCAGTTTTCGACTAGCTTAAAGTAAACAGCTGAAGAAGGCTTCGACAAATGTACGACTACCTCGAGCAGACCAAATGTATGATTCGGACCGATTCGCCTTACTTTTTAAGGGTTACTATGTTAAGTAGCCAATACTCACAAGAAACGATTCTGAATAACGTAGGATTACGCTTTGTGACTGAGAAAAAGGCTTTTCTTTGTGAAATAATGCAGTTGTCAGGAATTAATAGTGTTTTTATCCGTTCCGCGCGACTCTTAGCTGACCACCGAAAAGTTTGCCCCTCTATTTTCCCGGGAATTTTGAACCAATAATGTTTTCTTGAACTTCCAGCCGATTTGCGACCAGTAGGGTAAACGAAGACATGGGTTTGAAAAAGTTTGCAGGTGGAGGCACGTTCCCCATTTCTATCCACGTGGTCTTGTGCTGGCAGCATGCTACTTGTGAAACGGAAGGTTTCACGGCTCGGCACATGTGTATGGGGCGCCATTTGTAAATTTATTATTTAGACCGAATTTATGCCATTTTCCCCTTATTTATAAATAANGCACAACGTCGTAACTCTAGACAAATACCCTGAACGCGAACTCTTCAGGCGCATACTGTCGAGGGCATCTTCTGAATGGACTCGGCGTCTTCTTAGACTTTCAATTCCGGACAACATGGCGTCCATCAGATCTTTGAATGCATGTAAATAACACTCCTGTACGTTTCGAATTCGTCTTTAATTCTAACGCTTCACTTAAAACCAAAATAACAAATACAGAAATTAATAAATACGACCTTAAACTTAAATAAACCGAAAATACAACAATACGAAAAACAGCAAAAAATAGAAAGGAAAAACGAGACTACTTACAAGATCTCTACGGCACTCCGGAACTGACAACGACTGAATACAACTAAAAAACTACAGGGAGAGTACTCTGAAGCCAAGTTCTATAAGAGTAAGCCAGAACTAAGGAACAGCAACGTAAATGCTGACTTATTATTCATCAGCGGAAATATTCAAATCAGTTGCCAGTCGCACGGAGTTTGTTTACGATAAACCACGGATAAACCGGCACGCGAGTGCAAATATATAAATAAACAATAGCCTCCATTTTATGGGGCGCCGTTTGTAAATTTATTATTTAGACCGAATTTATGCCATTTTCCCCTTATTTATAAATAATTGGAAATGCCACAAAATTTGTTTATAAATAATTGGAAATGCCACAAAATTTGTTTATAAATAAGACACAAGAACTTGTCCGTTGATATGTAAATAATTTTTTTAGGTACGTCCTGATTTATAAATAATCTTTTACCATAGAGTTATTATATATAAATAACAAACTAAAC